GGAATTGAAGAGGATGAGAGAGAGGCAGAGAGTGTAAAATTGAGAGGGAGAGGGGTGTTGTGGAGAGTGAGAGTGAGAGTGAGAGATCGAAAAAAGAGTGTGAGACTTTTTGAGTAAGGAAATGAAGGAGCAAAGAAGAGAGACGAAGAGAGAGTATAACCATAAAAACAAAGAATAAGCAAGAGAATGGAGAGGGAAAGAGAGGAAGGGAGGGAGTGAGTGATAGAGAGAGGAGGGAGAGCAAAATATAAAAGGGAGAGAAGATGGTGAGCCAACTAGGGATAGAGTGAGGAAAAGTGAAAGATCAAGAGATGGGAGAGATAGAGAATTGTCGTGGATTGAATGAGAGCGGTAGAAAGAGAGTGACAAAGGGATAAGAGAGAGAAGAAAATTGAAGAGAGAGGGATGGATGGGAGAAAAGGTTAGAGAATGGGAGAGGGAGGGTTAGATAGATAGAAAAAGTGATAGAGGGAGAGAGAAGAGAAAGAGATAAACTGAATGAGGCTTGCAGAGTTGGTGAAAGAGAAAGGGAAGGTGGGAGGGAGGATGAGAGAGAATACAGAGAAGAGAGAGATCAAGAGAGAGAGGGGGAGGAGATTTAGTGAATGAGAAGAGAGAGAGTTTGAGAGCAAGAGTGATATTATAGAGAGAACAGGCGAGGGAGAGATAGAGATGAAGAGAAAGGGGGAGAGGGAAGAGGGCGGAATAAGAATGTGAGTGAGAGCAAAAGAAAGAGGGAGAGAGTGAGGGGGAGAGAGAGCAAGCAAGAAAGGAGGGAGCAGAGAGATATAAGGGACAAAGGGAGGAAGACAAGAGGACATATATAAAAAGAGAGAGAGAGAGGGAGGGACAGAGATAGAATGAGATAGAGAGAAAGAAGGAGAGAGATCGTGTGCAATAAAGAGGGAGAGCACAAAATAGAATGAGAAAAAGAATGGATTGAATGAGAGGGGTGATGAGAGAGAGCGAGAAAGAGAAGGAGAGAGTTAAAGAGGACAGGATGGAAGGAGAGAGATGGTGGGAGTGAATGAGAGATGGAAGGTACGAGAGAAAGAAAAGGAGAAAGATGGAGAGAAAGATAGAGAGATAATGGACAAGAGAGAGAGCAAGAGAAGAGAGAGAAAGGGAGAAATGGGGAGAGCAGAGAGATGCTGAGATAGAAGATGAGAGAGAGAGACATATAGATGAGAGAGAGACAAAGGAATAGAGAGCAAGAGATTGATGGGAGAGCTAGAGAAATGAGAGAAGATAGAGATAAACGAGAGTGTGTAATAGTTGGAGAGAGAAGAAAAGTAAAAGATGAAGTAACAAAGGGGAGAGAGAAAGAGAGGGGTGAAAGAGGGATAGGAGGGATAAAATTAGAACGGAGAGAGAGAAGAGATGGAGAGATAAAGGAAGGAAGAGAGAAAGGAAGGGAGGAAGA